CTGATAAAATTTTTCTGTAGCAATAATTTAGGGTGTTAATAATTTCATCATAAAATAAAATACAAGGTGTTCCATTTAAAAAACATACATTTTAATTTGCCAGGCAAAAACGTGACACCCTGTATATTCAAAGATATTTTTAAAATATGTAGGTATTTTTCTAATCCATATAACTTTTATTTAAAACTTTTTTGCGTGTCTACAACAAAATAATGAACAATAACGCACTAATGGGACACCCTGTATAAATTATATTTTTAACAATGAAAATTTCTTATAATGTGATACTTATCGGTTTGGGTCCTTGGGAAAACTAAAGAATGTTTTCTTGCAGGTATAACCCTTATTAAAACAGCTTTTGACTGCACAAACAGAATGATGTCTTTTTTTTCACTCATTCTACTCACAGCTAAAGAGTCACCAAAATAATAACAGTACCTTTAACTCAAACAAAATCAACGAAATTATAGGCTCCACGAAATTATACAATCAACGAAATTACACGCACGACTCAACACCTTACCTAAGTACGATTCTGAACGCCAAAACCGTCTTTTCCCTCCGAAGGCGGAGCTTAAGCGATGCGCGATGAAATCGACGCAAACCGTTGCCGCCAAGAGAGTGTTTTAGCTGTATTGTATAAGCTGTGCTTGTAGTGTTTCTAGAAAGCACTTCACACCTCCACCATTTCTTCAAATTCGTCATTGTTCTCGTTCATTCTATGAATGATTCACTACGACTATTCATAGGCGTACCACCGGGAGGATTGACTTATTTCTTTAAATATTCATTAGTAATCGGACAAGTGGGCCTTAAGAGCCCAACCAAGGCAAAAGGGGACTTTAAGAATTAGAGCATTATCGTACTGGTCGAAAATGGCTCGTATAACAATAATTAGGCCACTAGTAATCTTCAAAAATAACCGATTGGTAATTTAAAAAAAAAGTGCGTTAATAAAACTGTAAACAAACTGCTAAACTATAACTTTTCCAATTTCCAAATAAACGCCAGTGATCAGTTACATATTTTTTACAGAAATGACAACTTCAGCTGTCATAAAAGTCAATTTCAATGCGTTTTGTGATGTTACGAGATCATGTGGGTTACGTGTATTGTTAAAGACCCTGTAGTTAGTTGTAAGCTTTCTCTATCAACGTTATTATAAATAGTTTGGAACACTATTCGACATGCCAAAATTGTTTATCCTAACTAAATTTATTTATTATTGTTGGCTGAAACTAGCTCTATTTTGCATTTTGAATATTACTGGGAAATTGATTAACATTACCAGGAATATTAAATGTATCAGCAAAAGGTTTAAATGGACTGATTAGTCGCAGTAAACTTTGAAATAAAAAGAAGAAATAAGGCAACACAAACTGAAGAGCCCTAAAGTTGCGCATCATATATTTTTTTATTTTTATTTTATTTTTTATAGTTAGAGCTCTGCGACATTTTTCCAATATTTAAGTTCAAGTTTCAAGTCACTTGTGTCGCGCATTAAAGTTTTAATTAAATTAGCTTTCAAATGAAGTGTTATATTTTATAATACGTAATTTCTATCCCGCTCGAGTGCTCTAAAATCAAAAGTAACGCAATAAATAGTCATATGTATAGTTAGAGTGGCAGATGGCAGGGAAATGACATATGGCAATTGAAGATGTGACAGAAAGATGTCACTCTTTAATCAAAAATGTACAGGTATGAGTTGTCTAAAATGTTGATGTAGTTCAATGACTCTGGTACGTTTTCTGGCCATCCTGTATAACAAAAGGGTATGAAATTGGCCAAGTGAAAGTCGTACTAGTGTTCTTTTGTTCCAAATTGGGACGGAATACTAATAATAAAGAGGAAATAGTTTAAATAAAAAAAGAGCACTTATCACTATGTAGAACTCCCTTAAAGAAACACGAGCCAAAATACAGTATTGGCAAGATCAAAGCTTCGGTCTTTGCTTCTTTTTTAGTAAATAGTAAATGACATTTGCATGTGCAGGAGAGAAAAGAATTTAGTATCGACGTTGCCAGTTACCTACCAATGGGTAACGTAATGTGCCCGGCGACTTGACCTGTGAATAGCAACATTGATACTGTGTCGTTTCTTTTGAAAATGTACCAATATAAATTAAAGTATTTTCCCTTAAACTCTGATAGACAATCTAAATGTTATAAAAATAATATTTTTCTTATTTTTACATCTGTGTACTTTTTCCTCAATTCACTATTTTCTCTTTAGTAGATATTAATGGGTCTTACTTTACGATATAATTTATCTTTTATGAAATTATATTTCCTAAAAACGTATACGTACTAAACGTTCATTAATTCCAAATACATTTTCCCATTTTTATCAGTCTGATTTATAGATTCTTGATAGTGCATCAGCTTGTCCATTATACTTACCACTTTCTTTTTTTCTTATTGCATGGTCTGTAATGGAATCTCGTGTAATTTCTTACTCTTTCTTACACAGCGATTCTAAAAAATTGGTATGGTATTAAGAGTCCATCCCTTTCAAAATTTAGAATAACTCTATACTTATAGTTGTATTTAAATATTAAAATTATATTTTCGATACTCGTTTACACTGATAAAAAAAATTACCACAGCAGAAATAGTTTTAATAAACAAAAAATATGTGGACAACCAGTTTTTAATTAAAAATAATAATAATAAACTAAATAAAGCAAATATCGAAATCCTAACGTAAAAATTTTAATAAGCATTTAAAACCAATTCCCTTACTATATCTGCATGAGCCTAACCAATCGTTTAAAATTTTATATTTAACAATTTAAATTTTTCGGCGCAATTGGTTAAATAAAAAAAATTAACTAAACATCTGTCAAGAAACTATTTAAGAATTGTAATGTTCAAAGGATTAGTAATGTATTTTTTAACAATTTCGTGTCCTATATGGTCATATTTTTGTAATTGTGTGTGGGATGAAAAAGTCTTTCACATGGTGAACTCAAATCAGTCCCATGTCAAAACCATCCTCTAGAAACCACCCTTAACAATAATTGCATCTCTATATCTTTCGTTAATATGAAAAAATGTTACCCTGATTTCAGCGATTTAGGCTTTCAAATTAAAAAAAATTGACGAAAAATTGAAGAATGTTTCATAAAAATAAGATAAAATTTTAAAAATAATTATGGGAATTCCCAAGCAATTGTTGGGAAACTGTTAAAAAATTACTGAGAAATTAAAGAGGATTTGACAAGGAAATTGAGAGATAATTTTAAAGCAATTACCGGAATTTGGATAGCATAATGAAATTAGATATACAAATTTTGACTTGTAGTTCACCCCTAGTTGAAAATTTCTTGAAAATTTCTTGAAAATTTCTTGAAAATTTCTTGAAAATTTCTTGAAAATTTCTTGAAAATTTCTTGAAAATTTCTTGAAAATTTCTTGAAAATTTCTTGAAAATTTCTTGAAAATTTCTTGAAAATTTCTTGAAAATTTCTTGAAAATTTCTTGAAAATTTCTTGAAAATTTCTTGAATATTTCTTGAAAATTTCTTGAATATTTCTTGAAAATTTCTTGAAAATTTGTTCTAGAAACATGAATTAAATTTTGGTATAAGCTAATGTAATAATTGATTTTCTTTTGAATTTTGACTATTAAAACAAAAAAAAAACAAATTTTATATATCACTGAAGTTAGGGTGAAAAATTGTAACATATAATCAAAGAAATTGGGGTACAATTTGAAAAATTAATGTTATCTATGTGTGGTTTCTAGGAAAGGGTTGGACAAAAAATTAAAAAACTTTTAATATACATTAATTACAATTAAAATGGGTATCATAAAAGAGAATAATTACAAAATTGAGAAAAATAAAAAACTTTTACAAACTTATTGAAAATTTTTATATTTTACTCATAATTATTAAGTATTCAAAAAAGATATGTATTATTATAAAAACTACCTATCAATAAGAACTATACAGTATGGTTCAAATGAAAGGAATAAATTCATTATAATGGAAGTAGTTGGTTTTTCGAAAAAATGCTCGGACAGGTCAATTTTGTTTACTTAAAGCGCAATTTTTTAAATAGAATTCAATTATCCCCCACCTCCCATTTTTGGGCAGTGACGTCATTGACAATTTTTTTAAATATTAACCCCAATTTTTTTTTCTTGATTTTGATAGATCTTGCAATTTCCTACTCGGAAACATAATATTTGAAATAACTTACATAACAATTTTTTTTGAATAAAAGTCATTTAAAGATCAGACACATAAATTTTATTTTATTTTGAGAACACAATAAATGAATAAAACCTAATTATTTGTAATTAAGTGCTTAATCTATAAAAATAATACTAATAATAATAATAATTAATAATAATAATAATAAAGAAATTAATGACAATTTCACAAATTCTTTTTTATTATTATTATTATTTTGTTAGATTAAGCACTTAATTACAAATAATTTGCTTTTATTCATTTATTGTGTTCTCAAAATAAAATAAAATTTATGTGTCTGATCTTTAAATGACTTTTATTCAAAAAATTGTTATGTAAGATATTTCAAATATTGTTTCCGAGTAGGAAATTGCAAGATCTATCAAAATCAAAAAAAAAAAATTGGGGTTACTATTTAAAAAAATTGTCAATGACGTCACTGCCCAAAAATGGGAGGTGGGGGAAAATTGAATTCTATTTAAAAAATTGCGCTTTAAGTAAACAAAATTGACCTGTCCGAGCATTTTTTCGAAAAACCAACTACTTCCATTATAATGAATTTATTCCTTTCATTTGAACCATACTGTATCTTTTTATTTAATCCTTGATTTAAATAACAACAATTTTTTGCCCATCCTGTAAAATATCTAATATAACTACACGCGACGTATTGATTTAAAACCTACCATCTTTTTTTTATTGTGCAGCACCCTATACTTTCAACCTCATCTGTGTATATTCAGATCTGTAATGCCATTAAAATATTCTATGAACTGACCCAGTTTCCTTCTTTTTTGCAGGTCTTGGCATTTGACCGAGATATAGGACAAAATGCTCAATTGAATTACCACATTAAATCTGGAAAAGGCCGGACCAAATTCAAAATTGATAACAGCACTGGAATCGTATATGCGCAAAAAGCGCTTACAGCTGGAGAGGAATACGAGTTAAATGTGAGTATTTATTTAATTTATAATCTAATAAAAGCATTAGCAATATCTGAATATATGGAATTTATTAGAATTTTTTTATTTTCTACATAATAAACCGAGGTTTTGTTGTTGTTATGACGCAGATTACCTCAGATGCGAAACCCGGCAAATCATCAAAGAATTTTAAAGTGAGATTTATGTGACCTTAAAAATTTAAAAGGTATGGCATATTTGTTGCCAATTTTAATTATTTTTAATTATTCTGTATTAACATTGGTGTCTTGCAAAAATACTTTAGTTGTTAGGCTTGGTGAAAGCAGTAAATAGAGCCACTGAAAATTCCTGCACATTAATTGATTAAATTTTTGTGAACAGCTGTAAATATAATGCCACGTGTTGTTTCACTGATAATAAATTTCAGATCATCGTTCAGCTTTTTGTGATTTCAATCTCTTTAATATAGCGCAGTTTAAACAAGCCCTTTCCAATGAAGACTGGGCAATTTTAAATAATATTAATGCTTTTTGGTACTTTTATGACATTTTTAAAAATCGTTTTAATTTTTGCTTTCCTGAAAAACAAAGTAACTTACAAAAAAACAAAAAAAGTTGGATAGATGCCGAAATTGCTGCCTCAAGTCGATCACTAAAAGACCTTTTTATATTAAAAAAATGAAATATATGAAGAACACTATCAAAAATTTATTCTAAGATCAGAAAATACTATTAAAACTTGTTGGAATGTTGTATGAGAAATTACGAATAGGCAAAGTTGTGTCCCAACTTTTGTTATAGAAAAAGTTTTTTTAAATATGGTTGGTCATTTGGTCGTCAAAATAATAAAGTCTACTAGTAACATCGAAGAAATCACATCAAATAAAGATTCTTTTTTCCTCACTCCATTTTCTCACATAGAATTATTAAATTTATTAGGAAAATTAAAAACAGAAGATCTTCTGGAGCCGATGGCGTACCATGTTTTGTACTAAAACAAGTATTAGATGTTCTCTCTAAACCTTTAACATATTTGATAAACTTATCATTTGAGATGGGCAGTTTTCCTCAAGCTTTAAAACTGGGGAAAGTTTTACCATTGCACAAGAAAAATGATCGTAGACAAATAGAAAACTATAGACCCGTTGCTATTCCCTGTGGTCTGTCTTAAATCTTTGAATATGTCTTTCTTGATCGTCTTCTGTCTTTCTTGAAAAAGTACAACATTATAACAGGAAATCAGCATGAATTCTGTGCTAAAAAATCAACAACTGCTATCCATTTACCCATTTGGAGGAATCTAAATGCCCAGCTGCTATCTTTTGTGATCTCACTAAAGCATTCGGTTGTGTAAACCATGAGTTGCTATTAAATATATTGGAGAAATATGGAATCCGAGGCACTGTTTTAAATTGGATCTCTACCTTTTTACGTGATAGGAAGCAATATATTTCTTTAAAAGTACAAAACGACAACAAAATCAATACTATTAATTCTGTTACACTAGATATTAATACGGGAGTTCCCCAGTGTTCAATTTTGGGACCCATATTGTTCATAATGTATGTCAACAATGTTGAGTCATTAATAGATGATAATTATTATGTAAGCTATGCAGATGATTTCTCGGCTATAATTTCAGCTAAAAATACGGATCTACTAAACAGAAAGAGCTCGAACATCGCTCAAAAAATGTCAAGTTACTTTAAAAGTCTTGATTTATTTTTTAATGCTAATAATACTTAGATTTCATAACAGGCAACACAACGTTGAGCCTCTAGAGATTAGTTTTGAAAATGTCCTTCTTAATAATAGGAATGATAGCATTCGCTTTCTAGGAATCCAAATAGATCAACACCTTGATTGGAAAGACCATTGTAGAAGACTGGTAAAAAAAATTATTTTCAAGAATTTACGGTCTATACTTGAAGTTCGCCAATTAGTTATGGTGTATTTTGCACAAGTAAACTCACGTCTAAGATAAGGTGTATGCCTATGGGAAAATTCAACCCACTCTTAAAATGTTTTTCTTGCTCAAAAAAGGGTCCTGAGAAGCACTGCTAAGATCTCACAAAGAGGCTTTTGTCGACCATACTTCAAGGAATATGGCATATTACCCCTTTGTTGTATTTTTATTTTTGAAATGTGCCTATACACTTACAAACACAAAGAAATGTTTGTAACTAATAGAAATGTACACAGGTATGAAACCAGATGAATGTCAGTTAAAGTGTATATAAACATACACTTGAAAGGACATTAAAGCACCATATCAACGGACATGACAAGGATAGTGGAAATAAATATATAAAAAAAGGATTTTAAACTTATTTTAATAATTGTAACGACACACCCCAAATTTTGTACTAAAGAACTGTTTTTGATGTTTAAAATAACAAGGCTCTAATACCAAAAAAAAAAATAATTGACCAATAATAAAATTTTAAAAAACTACTGAAGAAGGCACTGATCAGTGCCGAAAGCTTTACCCACACATACACGAGTTTCATTTCTCACTAGCACCTAAAAACCCAAGAACTTCAAAGAAATAAACCTCACGCCACTGCTCATCTTTATACAAGGAGAAATCAGGTCCGATATTCACAGGCCAATGCAGCTACAAAACCCAATAAGCCAACTTGCAGAAGACTTACAGGCATATTCCTATTGACAATTCGATATCGAAATACTCGATTTCGACAGTTTGGTGAATTCCGATTTACGGGAAATCATATTTGCATCGACTAAAACGATTGCAAGTCACTCGCCAGCTCTATGGTGCCGAATTGCTCGATTTCGGTAGAATATTGAGGTTAAAGCACGTGGTTGTAGAGGCTGTAGTCTTGTAGCGGTTGTGATTTCTAGTTGAAGTTGAAACAGTTCAAAGCCATGGTTCAAAGCATTGTCATTGTTGATAATTCTGTGTCATTGGTATAAGAAGTTCTTGAGAATTTTGAGAATATAAGTAAAAGGTCTGCCTTAAAAAATAATAATGTAAGTACCTAATTAACTGTTAAATTAAAACAAAACAGCACAAAACTATTATTATAGGTAATTGTGGGTTTATGCACGAATTTAATTTGACATAATTTAAGAATTAAGCCCTGCTATTGGCTAACTGTGATCACCTGAATCTTCTATTCGCTGCTCTTGCGTTAAATTAAATTGTGTGCATAACCATTCCTTTAGAAAGACAAATTGCCGTCAGTTTGGATGGCATTTTTGACAATTAAAACACGTACTGCGCATGCTTGCTACGAATACTACGGGTTTCGGAATCGACCAAAACGCAGGGCAATTCGATAGCGAATAGGAATAGCAAATTTCTCGATATCGTATTTGGTTGCGAGTATCGAAAGCCATTCGATTTCGCATTTCGCACTGGATTCGGAATCTCACTCAATACCGCCATAACCACAGGCTTTACTCGTCTAACATACAGACGGTTCAAAAACCAAGGAATGAACCGGTGCTAGAATCTATGGACCCATGTCGAAAACAACAATTTTGCTGAGTCTAGGAGAATATACATTAGTATTCCAGGCTAATAGCCATGCAACACTGTGCAAGAGAAATAAAAAATCAGCAAGTATCATTCAAAACGATTGCCATCTACTCTGATAGCCAAGCAGCTCTAAAGGCAAATTCTCTCACCAGAAAGCAGATCACGACTGGTGAAAAACTGCCTAGAAGACCTGGTAGAGCAAAGTGACCCTAGTCTAGGCGACGAAAAGGCTGAACAATTAGCCCGAGAAGGCTCAGATAGGGTCATGACAGGCCCCGAACTCGGTTCTGTGAAGAAGAAGAGGAAACAGCAATTCACATCCTCTGCCGGTGTGAAGTTCTGGTTAGATTGAGGTTTCTAACATTAGGCGAAGAAAACCTTAACGCATGCAACTACATGCGGGAGCCGCTGTCAAAGATACTAAGTCTAATAAAAAAGACCAAACTAGACGACATAATCTAGAAAACGGAGTCCCACAATAGATCTGAAAAGGTTGCGGTAGACATGTAAAAATAATGTCTAAATTCTTCTAAATCTAATCTAATATTTGCCCAAATCCATGTGAAAACTACAGAGAGTTAGCATGAGGACGAGCAGAAAACGAATAATATCAGCGTTACCTCTTTATACAACCCGGCCAATGTTACAACGTGTATAAACGGGTATAAACAACATAATAAAACATAATTGAATGAAACAAGAACTTAAATAATTGCAGAGTTCAAACGTTAAGAAATACAAACTTTATCGCAATCAACCAAAATAAAAAAATGTATGCTACGCAGTGAATTATGAATAACATTAGCTTTCAAGTGAAGTGCCACACTTTACAATAAATAAGTTTTGTGTCCAGCTGGGGGACGTTAAAATAAAAATTATTGCAATGAATAGTTATATTGCCGAATTCTCTTTAAAATTATCTTTTTAATGACGTGTCATACTTGACACTTATCCTATTTAAGTTACATTGGTTATAGCAACGTAGTGGAGGGGAATGACGTATGACAGTTAATATAATAAAAAGATGTCCACCTTTTTTAATATCCACGATATTAATACACAAAACCCTCATGTCAAGTTTTCGTTGGGTCACCTTGTATAAAGAAAAATTTAATATTAAAGAAAATTAACTTATAATTAGTAACCTTTAAACAAAATATAAATTAAATAGATCAATCCAATATTAATTTAAAGAAATACTGAATAAACAGTTTTGAAAACTTGTTTTGAAAAATTGTGAAGTTTGAAAGGAATAAATTGGTAATGAAATTTATATTTTTGTATATTATGATTGTATGTTTCTCTTTCCACTTTTCATAGTTTTATTTAAATAAAAAAATTATTTATAATTTTTGTAGCGTTTGTTTATTTTAAACAACAGTTTATTTGTTAATAATTTATTTGAACACCTATTTATTTTAAAACAATACTATTCTAATTTATATATATTTCGAATGTCTTTAAATTGCTCATTATTTGTATACGACTGATTGGTCCGTGTTCTTCCACCAATATTTATATAA